ATTTTTTTAAAATCAATTACTTTAACCATTTCCTGCCTCTCTTCACTCCTCGCACAAAATAGAAATAATTGTCATTATACAGATGTTTAGCTAAAATGTAAAGTTTGCTATCTATAAAATACATGATCTTGCAGTATGTAATTATTATTCAGGTTACCTATAAGCTCATTTTTGGTTCTCTGTTCAAGAGTCTATGGTCAATAGTCATCATAAGGGTTTTAGGATGTCTAAACTACATCAAGAAATCAAATGTTCTGGGGCTAGCCCCGTGGCCTAGTGGTTAAGTTTGGCATGCTCTGCTTCAACACCCCAGAGTCAGTTCCCAGACACGAACCTACACCACTGGTCAGCAGCCATTCTGTGGCAGCCGCTCACATACAAACTAGAGGAAGATTGGCCACAGATGTTAGCTCAGGGCAAATCTTCCTCAAGCAAAAAGAGGAAGATTGGCAATGGATATTAGCTCAGGGGGAATCTTCCTCAGCAAAAAAAAAAAAAAAAAGAAAGAAAAGAAAGAAATCAAACATTCTCTTTCCTAATATCAGAAACAATCTTACAAAATTCCTACTGTTTTGGTTTTTTAGAGAATGACCTTAATGCTGAAAACTATTTCAATTACCATTCTTGTCCATTTGATGATGAGATGATGTGTGAATCTCCATCTCTCTAGTACAGGACACCTCCAAAAGGCCAAAGTCTACAGACAGTGGAGTCAACCAAATGGGGCTCAAATCAAAGCTAACTCTAATTTAGTTCAGAAATAAATTCTCAATTAATTAGAAAGGATGGGAAACCTACCAATTCATGTGGGGGATTTAACCGTGGCTGTCTTCTTAACAACAACAACTATCCAAAATTGGCCAGTCATTTTTTATTTATTTATTTATTTTTATTGACGTATACCTGACGTATAACATTATATTAGTTTCAGATGTACAGCATAATGATTTGATATTTGTATATATTGCACAACATTTTTTTTTATTGAGTTATTGATAGGTTACAATCTTGTGAAATTTCAATTGTACATTAATGTTTGTCAGTCATGTGTAGGTGCACCACTTCACCCTTTGTGCCCACCCCCCACCCCACCTTTCCCCTGGTATCCACTAAACTGTTCTTGGTCCATAGTTTTAAATTCCTCATATGAGTGGAGTCATACACAGATTATCTTTCTCTTGCTGGCTTATTTAACGTAACATAATTCTCTCAAGGTCCATCCATGTTATTGCAAATGGAATGATTTTGTTCTGTTTTGCAGCTGAGTAGTATTCCATTGTATATATGTACCACATCTTCTTTATCCATTCGTCTGTTGATGGGCACTTAGGTTGCTTCCACGTCTTGGCTATTGTAAACAGTGCTGCAATAAACATTGGGGTGCACAGGACTTTTGGGATTGCTGACTTCAGGCTCTTTGGATAAATACCCAGTAGTGGGATGGCTGGATCGTATGGTAGTTCTATTTTTAGTTTTTTGAGGAATCTCCATACTGTTTTCCATAGTGGCTGCACCAGTTTGCATTCCCACCAGCAGTGTATGAGGGTTCCTTTTTCTCCGCAACCTCTCCAACATTTGTTGCTATTAGTTTTAGATATTTTTGTCATTCTAACGGGTGTAAGGTGATATCTTAGTGTAGTTTTGATTTGCATTTCCCTGATGATCAGTGATGATGAGCATCTTTTCATGTGCCTATTGGCCATCAGTATATCTTCTTTGGAGAAATGTCTGTTCCTGTCTCCAGCCCATTTTTTGATTGGGTTGTTTGATGTTTTGTGATTGAGTTGCGAGAGTTCTTTGTATATTAAGGATATTAAGCCTTTGTCAGATATATGACTTGCAAATATTTTTTCCCAGTTAGTGGGTTGTTTTTTTGTTTCAATCCTGTTTTCATTTGCCTTGAAAAAGCTCTTTAATCTGATGAAGTCCCATTTATTTATTCTTTCTATTGTTTCCCTTCTCTGAGAAGGCATGGTGTCCGAAAAGATCCTTTTAATACTGATGTCAAAGAGTGTACTGCCTACGTTTTCTTCCAGAAGCCTTATGGTTTCAGGTCTCACCTTTAGGTCTTTAATCCATTTTGAGTTTATTTTGGTGAATGGTGAAAAAGAATGGTCAATTTTCATTCTTTTACATGTGGCTTTCCAGTTTTCCCAGCACCATTTGTTGAAAAGACTTTCTTTTCTCCATTGTATGCCCTCATCTCCTTTGTCAAAGATAAGCTGTCCATAGATGTGTGGTTTTATTTCTGGGCTTTCAATTTTGTTCCATTGATCTGTGCACCTGTTTTTGTACCAGTACCATGCTGTTTTGATTACTGTAGCTTTGTAGTATGTTTTGAAGTCAGGGATTGTGATGCCTCCCGTTTTGTTCTTTTTTCTCAGGATTGCTTTAGCAATTCGGGGTCTTTTGTTGCCCCATATGAATTTTAGGATTCTTTGTTCTAATTCTGTAAAGAATGTCATTGGGATTCTGATTGGGATGGCGTTGAATCTGTAGATTGCTTTAGGTAGAATGGACATTTTAACTATGTTTATTCTTCCAATCCATGTACATGGAAGCACAACATTGTTCTTGAGGATTATATTTTAGCCCATCATTTCAGCAACAATATTTCATCTTAATACAACTACTTCCCAAAACTGAATCTCAGGTTGAGAGTTGATCTTGTTCTTTTCCTTCAGATGAATAGCTCATTATTACCAATGTTGACATTCTGGGCATCTGTGTCTGACTCAATCTGCTTAGTAGAGTGGGAATCCCTTCCCTTCCCACCAACCCTTACCAACTGGTCTGGTTTGTTTCACACTGTCCCAGTGGAATTCCTTTTTAAAACATCTGTTATTACATGGATTTGAATATGCAACATGTCATATTAAATGACACCCCCTGCCCCATAACAACTATATTCATGGAAGAAAATTCTGGTAAAAATGTTGGGCATTAATAGAAGTTAGTTCCATTTCACTAGATTTTTGTTCCACACACTAAAATTATAAAGGAGTTTCACTGGATTTTATGTGCTGCTACTTATTTTTTTACATTCCTTCCATCTCAATTAATTCATTCTTTTATAACTCTCCCTCATATTTCATATTAAATTGGAATTTTGCAAGGAAAGAGATGTTAATTCTCAAAACAAAATTTAGCATTTCACTTTAATGCAAATAAAATCAGGTTCGATTACTATTTACCTGAGCAGTAACTAAACTCAGAATACTGTGTAGCACTGGCTTTCTGCCAGGTTAGATAAGTGGAAATCTGTAATCTTTCCATCCACCAGTGTGAGATGAACAATAGTTGTTCAAAGGGTGTCCCTGGTGGGATGGTTGCCAGCCTATGTGCAGAAAGGTGGTGAGAATAAAGGTACATTCAAAAGTAAGTAGATTAGGTTAGAAGCCAGTAATGCAATAGATGCTAATATAAGAACTAAATAATCCTCGTAGAATAAAACATAGAGGTAAATCTTCATGACCTTGGATTTGGCAATAGATTCTCAGATATGATGCCAAAAGCCTGAGCAACAAAAGAAAAATTAGATAAATTTGACTTCATCAAAATTAAAAACTTTTGTGCATTAAAGAACATCATCAATAAAATGAAAAGAAAGAATGGGGGGAAATATTTGCAAATCATATATCTGATAAGGATCTGTTATCCAGAATATATAAAGAACTCCTTCAACTTGACAACAAAAAGTCAAACAACCCAATTAAAAAATGGGCAAAGGACTTGAATAGATATTTCTCCAGAGGAGATATACAAATGGCCAACAAACACATGAAAACATGCTCAATATCATTAGTCACTGGGGAAATACAAATCAAAACCACAATGAGAAACCACTTCACATCCACTAGGGCTGCCATAATAAAATTTTTAAAAAATAAAAAACAGAAAATAGCAAGTATTGGATAGAATGAAGAGAAATTGGAATCCTCGTACGTTGCTAGTAGGAATGCAAAATGGTTCAGCCACAGTGGTAGACGATTTGGCAGCTCCTCAAAAAGTTTAACGTAGAATTCCTACATGACCCCACAATTCCACTCCTACCTTTATACCCAAAAGGATTGAAAACAGGGACTCAAACAAGTACATGTTCATGTATGCTCATAGCAGCACTATTCACAGTAGCCAAAAGGTAGAAATAGCCTAAATGTCCATTAACAGATGAATGATAAATTATTGCATGTACAGTCATGCGTAGCTTAATGACGGGATACGTTCTGAGAAATGCATCATTAGGTGATTTTGTCAGTGTGCAAACATCATAGAGTGTCCTTACACAAACCTAGATGGTGTAGCCTACTACACACCTAAGCTGTATGGTACTAATCTTATGAGACCAACATCATATATGCAGTCAATCATTGACTGAAACATCATTATGCAGTGCATGAGTGAACAGGCAACGGAATATTATTTGACCATAAAAAAAGAATGAAGTACTGACACATGCTACAACATGGATAGACCTCAAAAACATTATGTTGAGTGAAAGAAGCCAGACACAAAAGGTTATATATTATATGGTACTACTTATATGAAATATCCAGAATAGCTAAATTCATAGAGACAGGATGCAGATTGATGGTAGCCAGGGACAGAGGAGAGGGGGAATGGGGAGACACTGCTTAATGGGTAAGGAGTTTTACTTTGGAATGAGGGAAATATTTTGCAACTAGATAGAGGTGGTTGTACAACATTGCCAGTGTACTAAGAGTGTCCCTGAATTGTTTACTGTAAAGTGGTGAATTTTATGTTATGTGAATTTCACCTCAGTAAACAAAACAAAAAGTCCATAATACAAGTGAGGAATGACTGTGAACTATATTACCAGACTGCTTAACAATCACATTTGTGTAAATGTTTCTTATCACAGTATGTGGTTGAGATTATGATCAGTGATTAGGTTCTGAATGACCAATAATATATCTCATATTCAACTTAGATTTAGAAAGTCAAAATAAGAAAATTAATTGGTATTTCTTGTTTTTTAGGACTCTCAGCTTGTTTCCTCTGGACACAATAATCCAAGTAAGAAAGGCTTCTCTCTGCAGTTTCGTGGGACGGGGGTGGGAGGTGGAGGGGCTGAGGAGGGGAGAAGCGTGCAATAGACGTTGGGTTTAAAAGAATTTCACTGAAAAATGAAACCCATTGGGAAAAAGAGGGCCAGTTGTTCAAGTATTGCCCAAATGGATAAGATTCACGGTGACCTTCAGTGTTCGTTTGTCTTTAATCAAGGGAAAGAAGGACCAAAGATAAAATGGTGAATTTCAAAGCAATCCTAGGAGAAAGGAACATCATGCTTTACTATAGTTGGTCCCTAGGATGTGGAGGGGAAAAAATTTTAAAGGCAACCAATGAATTATCTAAATTGAAAGAAAATGAGTGAGCAAAGAGAACCAATCAGAAGACCTCAAGACAAATGGCCTTAGAATCCATGAACAAACCATGCCTTCTTCCAGAGATAGACTAGAGTGTCTCGGAAGGAATTTCTTTATTGAATTCATTGTTTAGAAAATGTGTGGACTTCATCATCAAAGGGAGGATGTCATCATTCCATAAAGTAGTGTTTTAATTCTCTTCTTTGGCACTACTAATTGCTATTAATGTTTTCTTGAGCATTAAAAATACATAAGCCATTTCATTCATGTCATGAAAGCACATGCACAAAGACTGGGCTTTGTTAGTCTCATGACCAGCCAGTCAGCTGAGGGCATCCCTTGCCAGCCACATTACAAAGCTGTGTTTGAACATGAAAGTCATCCTGAGCTAGCAGATGTGTCTTTGGAACTGAGGCTCACCCACTGAGTATCTGTAATGGCAGAAGCGTTGGAGAGAAAAGACATCCAGACAAAGGTGTTAGGAAGCCCCAGACTTTTAATGTACAGCCAGGGAAAAGTCAGGGTAGGAGGATGGTGGCGTAATGATACCTAGGCAGTATCACTTAACTATCCCACCCGCTGTTGGGATATGCCATGAGCACAGGCACCAGTGAAGAGGTGAAATGGCAAAGGATTTGAAATCTAATGAAAATAATAAATTAAATAGTAAGAAAAAGAATCAGAAGAAAGGCATGGTTAAGTCCATGAGGTGTGCAGGCATCAGCATCGTATGCCAAAGACCAGAGCATACTGAAGAATTGCCATGACTTTCCCCACCATTTCATTCCATTTGAGTTTAAACAGTTCAGGGTAAAGGGGGGATATAATAGATGAATAAATGTACATTCTCTCAGCTTTGAGGTTTTGACATAAAGAGCCCAGCAAATAGCTGTCGAGTCTCTTCTATGTGCCAACACCTTGAAGTATGTTATTTCACTTGATCCTAACAACAGCTGTATGAGGTAGGCATTATCATCTCCTTTTTGCACATGATGAAAATGAGATTCTGAGGTTAATAACTAGCCCAAAGTAACATGGCTAAAAAAATGACAGCTAGGATTTGAATTCAAGGATCTGCCCCAAAGACAACAGACTTTCTTTCCATCCCATTACCTTGACCTCAAGAAGGTTGCTTCTATCACTTAAATGTGAGATTGAATTCTTGGCCAAGAACTATATACTGTATTTTTGCATGCATCTGGCACATTTTTATGATGTGCCATAACATTCACATGCTAATGCTGCAATTTAGATTATGTAAGAGCAGACGCATCTTCTATGGGATGTGAGATGGCACTGCCTTGTGTGGTATAAAACCTTCTGGCATTTCATTATCTAAGGAAATTTGTGATTGGCTTTCTCTTTTCTGGGTGTAGGGGGATTTTTCTTTTGTATTTTTCAAATAAATCTTCCCCCCAAAGCCAAGCACATCCATGAAAAGGTAATATCACTATTTAAAAATATGAGCATTCTCTGTAGATTACAGCACATTTAAAACTTTAGGAGATCTGGTCCCACCTGCATTTCCTGTGCTCTTCTTTGTATTTGGTTTGAAATCATTACAGTTTTTGGAATCATGACTCTAGTAAATATGTAGAAAATAGAAAAAAACTGAACTTCAAAGAAACTAAACACAAAAGGTATATGTGTGGATTGATGCACCAACCTTCACCACTTTTGGTCAGTGCTTTTTTTCTTTTTGACATTAGAAAAACTAAGTTCTGTAGATACTAAGAGAAAAGAGTGTATAAATTAAATAAAATTATTTTAATTCATATCTTTTAAAAGGTAAATACTTTAGTCTGAATTACTGATTAATTTAACTTAATATTATAAAATAGAAGCTTATTAAGCATTGAGAAACTTAAATACTAAAATAGGTGATATATGTTTACATTTTTTTAAAGTTATGATAGTGTCCTGTTCAAGTAGCAGATTAAGCCTAAGCAATTCTTCCCCTCCCTTCAGAAACCCCATTTAAATAATCGTAAAGCTATAGTAATGGAAATAAATCCATAATACCACTGAGAACAGAAAGGGATGCTATCAACAAACCAGGAATTGAACTGAGTTTTTGGAAAACAGAGAGTAGATAGGACCCTACTGTTAAATAATCTTGGGCAGGGAAGGTCATGACCCAGGAAAAGAAAAAAGGAAAATAATGAAACAAACAGAAATAAGCTGTGGTGGTGATGGGAACCATCCCAGAGAGCTCCAAGAGACGCTCTGGATTTCCACTCAACCTCAACAGAGAAGAGGCATGGACTGTGGACAGTGAAGGGAACACCTGCCATTCTTCCACCTGTTACCCTTCCCCATCCTAGCTGGTTATCATACAGAGCTTTCAGTCTGCTTTTCCTCCTCCCAAAAATAAAATACCAAAAAACATAGTAGTATTTGCTAAGAAAATGAACAGTTGACTAGAACTCCTAGTTGGGAGCTGATACCTAAAAGAAAAGCAGAATAGATTCTGAGATAATACCAGACCTTAAGAATAGACACATATGAGTGCTGAAAGAAGAGTCAACTTTTCTCAAGAAGGAAATAAAAATGCCACACACCCAGAGTAAATTGCTTCCTATTTTTGCTGAGAGGTAGGGGGAGGGTAAGGGCGCCCAGCTTGCCTTGAGTCCTCTCTTCTCCTGAACCCTAAATGAAGCCTTTCAGTTAGCATACGCTGTCCACTTACAAAGAACTCTATATCAACCCTTCCCTACAAGGAAGAGGTGTTTTAGGAAAATAGAACAATGTACTAATAGAGGAAATCCACACCAATTACTTTCGTTAACCAACCTGTTATCATTCAAAGATGTGAATACATAACCAGTGAGCACTAAAGAGAAGAACTGACCCAAAAGAAATCTAATTAATTCAAGAAACAGAAGAAAAAATTTTCAAGTATAATTGCAGTCTTATTTGTGGAAATTATTTGTAAATTTGTTACAGAAACTTATTACAGAAATTATTTGTATAAAAAAAAGGAGAGAACAGATCAGTATGAAAAGGAAGCAGTTACAGAACAAATGAGCCCTTGAGAATTAAAAATATGATTGATAAAATAGAAATAATGGGTAGTAGGTGAAGTCTGGAATCTGGAATATCAGTTTGAAAACTTTTTTTTCTGAATATAAAGCAAAAGACAGATGGAAAATATGAAAAGAAGCTACAATACATGGAAGATCAATCATGGTGGAAAGGTCAAAATCTAGTGAATAGGAATACCAGAAAAAGAAAACAAAGAAAATGGAGAAGAATAAATAGTAATAGAAATAGAATTCCAAGGGAAATGAGCAGCTCACTTTCAAAAACACTTATATTCAAGGAAACAAGAGCCCATGAACAAGATCAAGGAAGGACAACACACAGCAAATTAGAGAGAACTATCAGGACTTCAGATATTGGAATTACCAAACCCAGAATATAAAATAAGGGTGCTTACTTTAATTTCCAGAAGTGGGAGGACTGAAAATGTGGTAAAGAACAAGAAGATTTGAAGAAGTACTAATGAGAATGTCTAGAAGTGAAAAAAATAATAACAGAAATTAAAATTTTCTTTGTCAGGTTTAATAGCTGATTAGACATATCTGAAGAAAAAATTAATGAATTGGGAAATTGAACTTAAGAAATTATCTAGATTGCAGCCTAGAGAGACAGAAATAGAAAATATGAAGTGGAAGTTAAGAAACATGGAAGATAAAGGGAAAAATTCCAACATACATTTAGCTGGAATTCCAGAAAGAGATAAGGGAACAGAGGAAATATTAATGGAAATAATAGCTGAAAATTTTCCAGAATTGAAAGACACTAACCCACAGATTCAAGAAACCCAATGAATATTAAGCAGGATAAATAAGAAGAAGTCCACAGTAGACACATTATAGTTAAACTGCAAATTACATAGATAAAGAAAAAATTCTTAAAATATCCTTTAATACCTTCAAAGAAGCAACAATTAAACTTGTAGTTGACTTCTCAACAGCAGCAATGAGAGCCAGCAGACAGTGAATTTATAACTTCACTTTTGTGTATGTGGAAATTGCCAAGATGGTTCTCAAATTTATTTGATAGAACAAAAGGCGGAAAATAGCTCAGACAGTCCTGAAGAAGAACAGGTTGGAGTCTTGCCTTACCAATATTAAAAATAAATAGAAAAATATTTTTTGCTAAGTAATGAAGATAGTAATAGACAAATTGAGTAATGAGACAGAATACCCAAAACAGACTCACAGATATATGAAAACTAGATTAAGGTGACAGAGGCGATAATGCAGACCAATGGAGAAATAATGGACTTCTCAATAGATAGTACTGGAATAATTGGTTATCTACAGGGAGAAAAATGAAATTGGCTTCTACCTCACATCATATACAGAAACTATCTCAGGTATTGGTAAAAGACCTAAATCTGAACAGTAAAATGATATACTTTCAGAAGACAATATAGAACATCTTTCTGCTATATTTCTTAAATAAAACACAAAAAAGTGTGAAATAAAGGAAAATACTGATAAATTCAAGTATATTAAAGCTGAGAACTTATACTTATCCACTGTTACCAGAAAAAGAGTAAAAAGACTCATACTAGAAAGTTATTTGAGGTATATGTGTGTGTTTACATATATATATCTGACATATGTATATGTGACAGAAGATTTGCAATAAGGCAATAAAATGCTTCTATGAATTAAAAAAGATATAATAATACCACAAAAATATTTTTTAAGGAATGAAGAAGAATGTCACAGAAGAGCAAGCACAAAATCTCTACCTCATTGGTACTCAGAGAAATGCAAACACCACTACGAAATTGCATTTTACATTATTAAATTAGAAAAAAAATGAAAAGTTTAACCCTAAGTTAATTTGGAAACCACTGTAGGATTACCTGGTCAAGTTGGGCATATGTAAGCCCTACTTCCCAGAACCCCTAACATGTACACGGGGAAGGATGTTCATGAATGTTTGTAATTGCGTCATTCATAATGGAAAAACCTACAAGTCCACCGGGAGTAGAATAAATAAGAACATCATGGTAGATGTTTATAAGAGGATGCTGCTCAGCAATGAGGATGAACAAACCAAAGCTACATGCATCGTGATGGCCGAATCTAAAACTCATAATAGTGAGTGACAGAAGTCAGTCTCAGAAGAATGCATACGGTGTGATTCCATTCATATAAAATTTAAAACCAGGAAAAACTAAAAAATATTTTATTTATTAATAAATACATAGCTTGTAAAAACTATCAGAAAAGAAAGGGAATGATTAACACAAAATTCCATTACTTGATAGCTGGCGGGAGGGCAGGAAGAGGACGCAAGCTCAGCAGGCTTCTGGGCTGTTTCTTGGCAATGCCCATTTCCTGGCCTGCAAGGTGTTTTCACAGTTAACTCATTGTAATTTTTTAGAACTGTATATATACACTTTCATATGCGTGTACATTTTTATATGCATTAAATGCATGCTTTATTTAACATTTCTTTGGGAAAAGCATAGCCTTTACTTGAGACACATTAACCTGTGACATGGTGAAATGTAAGAATGAGAATCCATTTGACGTAAATGCCAGGAACACTTGCCTTCATTCAGGTTTAGTGACATTCTCTTCTGACCAGGCCCAGTCCCACTGCTTTGTTCTTTCGTGACTAATATTTATATTGCTGTAATATTGTAAATCCTGTTGTTGGTTTATAATTTTTCTAATTGGCCTACAGGAAATTCCAAAAATTAAATTGTTAATTAAATTAATGTTAGTGAGCACGACTCATTAATAATTACTGAACGGAATATAAATATTTTAAATCTTGGCTGCGTAGAAGGAAAGGCATAGCTTTGCAGAATTGTGTGTGATAGAAGGAAAGGCGAGAGGGAAGGACAGATGGGGAGCTTCCTCATTTCACATAGTATAGAAGAAAAGATGCTGTCAGAAGTTGATTAATCAAGAAATGGAAGATTAAATTTATTCAAAGTTACAAATACCCACTAGAGGCACTAAAAGTAATAACAGAACTAAGAAAAATTCTAAGGAGAGGGGAGGTGGTAGTATAAGTATATTCATATCTTCTCTCTCATCTTTCCTATCAGAAATCATTACTTACTGTCTAAAGCTGATACATCTAGAAATAAGTCTATTTCTTAGCGTAACTGTTGAAGGACTGTCAGAGCTAAGAACCAAAGCAAGCAAAGTCTTACCTTTTCTCTACTGTTCAACTATTTTTACTGTGAACATGGATTGCTTTTATCATAAAGGGAAGTTGTAGTGTAGCAAAACTTTCCTCTGCAGCAGAACACAGCCTCACACAGGTCTGTTTTGATCCCCTTTTCAAAAATCTTCTTTAGTGCATATCATAGCCCTGTTGATGGAGAGTGCAGTACTCCAGCAGGGCAGGCATTGTAAGTGTTTAAAGGGCGTGAATTAGACATTATTTATCTTTCTGCTTACCAGACAGAATACCCGACATCTAAGTCGTCGGTTTATTTATTGGATGAAAAATGTAGCTTTTGTGATTTTTTTGAAGTGGCCTATTGCAGCCATCAAGCTGTTTCATACCTCAAATTGTATATCCATCTCAACGGTGAGTGTACCTTACTCCTCGTCTTCCACTGTAGCGTGGGATTCTGTATTAATGACAGGTCATCAGACAGAAGACATATACCGAGTGTGTAGTGTATGTCAGGTACTGTGGAAGGCTCAGGGAGACAGATATGGAATGCTGAATTGAAAGTACATATATAATATACATGTGTATATACATATGCATTTATGTGTGTGTGTATATGTATAAATATATCATTCCTATGGCTCATTTTTTTTCCCTCTTCCTCTCTATAATTGTATTTCCACATGCAAAATGACCACACTGCACCTGAGCCAGTCTCTCATGTCCAGTTTCTTAATGATCAAGGCAGTTCCCTCCCAAAGAGCCTAGTGTGGTATCTATCATGGAAACAGCTGAAATAACCAGGATGATCCCAAACAGTCCTCTTTGGTGGCTCCTGAGCACCCAGCTAAAAAATCTCTTGCTGACAATTTCCCAGCTTATGTTCATTATTTTCCCTTGGGTCCTGATAAAGAGACTATGATTCTTAATGGCTTATGCACTTAAACATTTCATGTTAGCTTCAGCAATTGCATCACCTAAAATTTCAAGATGTTGGGAGAGCTTTCTGTTTTATTCTTTCTAAAGGACAAACATCGTTTTAGTCCCTGTCTCCACCCTGAGCTTACTTTTCCCGCAGAAAAGTGAATTCATTATCAGCCCTGAAGTTGCTGCCAACACTCACTCTCAGACTCTTCGTAAATGCCCTGTTTGGCCCCATTGTGTCCTTCCTGTTTGCCAGAACCTATTCTGTTTTCCCTGTTGCCACAACATAAATGCTGCTAAGAGCAGAGATTGTCAGCCACAGCTTTGTCCCTGAGCTGATCCAGCCCGGGATGCCCGCAGCCCCCAGATTCCATGTGCAATAAGGCCTGTGTCCTCTCAGCCTGCGGGTCAGTTGGCAGTGTTGTTGGTCAAGGTAAAACGTATTTATTCAAACATCCAAACAATGTCTTCATTTATATTATTGATTTCCTGTTTTTGTGACATGAATTGTTTGGAAATGTTTACTAATGCCTGCTGCTGCTGGGCCTGCTGTTGCACATTGTTGATTACGGTTGGATGGGGGGTGACTACAGGTGGCTACGGACCAGGGAAAGTAGCGAATTTCTCCCAGTTAAAGGGAAAAAAATAGATAAATATGTTTGAGAAAAAGTAAACCTCCATTTAGTTTTGTCTTACATAATGCAGGTGTTAGAACTCTCTATTTAGGATTCTGGCAGGAATTGTGGTTACTCAGTGAAAAAATGATTCTGGAAAATACTAAATTAGGTTATTTTCCAGCACTAAAGCCAGTTGATGAGGCTTTACCTGTCTCCTAAATGAGTACACCACAGACTGGCCTGGAAGACAAAAGTAGAATATAAAAGTAGGAACCTTAAAGCAAGTTTATTAGTTTGCCACCTCTCGTTTTTCTTCAGTGTGGTTTCCTGTGTACTGGGGCTCTGCCTGGTCAGTGTTTGCTATCCAGGCTGTTAAAAACTTCTGTGGCTTCATAACAAAGTGGCTGTCCCTCATGGTTGTTGTGACACTGTGTAGACACATTAGCACAGTTATATCTCAGATAGATGTGTGAACTATACATAACTGTGTCTTCTTTTTCTCACAACTGTTTAATTTTCTATAAGAATAAAAGAAGAAATTGTCAAGTCTGCTTTTGAGTCCGGTTTGGATGATGTCTCAGACTGTTTTCCTCATATAATTTAGGGGTCGTTCCTGAGACTAGGTGACCACAAGCTGACGCCGGCAGCTGACATATGGGGCTTGTATGGTGCATAGACCTGAGGCCGTAAAGAGTAGACGGGGGTTCTGTGCAATCGCCAGGCCTGACTTGAAAGAGCAAAGCAAGTTAACATCATCAGGCCCATTTCTTACAACCCACAATCTTCCCTAGGGTTTATTCAACTGTTAGCGTTGCACAACCATCATAACCACAGCTGACTCACCCTCACAGTCATGACTCTTCTCCCCTGTCCCCTAGCCTCAGGGAGATAAAATGCAACACTTTACAAAATGAGGATGCATAGTCAAATCATCAATGGTCAAGGCTCGGAGAATTACATTAGATCTATTGCTAGAGGAATGTGCCCTTTAAAACTACAAAAAGTGAACTGGTTCCAGGCTCCCTTAATTAAAACCCATTAAATCCTCCATGAGCACAGATGGCAGAAACCTTTCTTTATGTGGACTTGCAGATGGTCAGGAAGGATTTCTGGTTTACATCTTACTCTGTGTTAATTCAGGGGCCGGATAGCCTGCTGCCAGGGCTCTCAGTGGGGTGTGATTCTCTGATTCTCGGGGATCTTGTAATCTGGGGTGTAACCTCGGTGTGCTGTAAAATTCTCTCCTGCAAGTTCTGATGCACCCTGACCTAGTTTGGCTTGTATTAGCAGAAGGGATCAAAGTGCAAAATGCCTTGCATGTAGAAGGCTAATGAGGTTTATTTCCTTAAATTTTCTGTAAAATGAAGTGGAAGGAAACAGGTTCCATCTGTAAGATATTCGTCTTTTGGCAAGCTCCCTACTCTGAGCCTCTGGTTGTTTGCAAACAGCTCCTTGGTACCTACTCACAGATCGGTGCCTGGGCAATTGTATTGCAGAGAAGAAATTATTTTGCAAATCCGGTTCTCAGACAATAAAAAGACGTTTTAAAAGCCTCCTGCTGCACATTTCGAAACATTGTTAATAGGAGCATGGAAATATATTTAATCTCTCTTAAATCTTAAAGACTATAACGTTCACATGTTGTTATTTTTTTCTGCTTCCCTTTTAAGAGAAAGGTGATGCTGAGCCAGAGAGTCCAGACAATGGCACATCGAATACATCGTAAGTGTCTTTCCTGCTTCTCTCTGAGATGATGTTCTTAAATAGGCCTGTAATATGAAGCCATGCGAGTGTCTTGTAATAGTAATACTGCTGCTAACAGAAGGCAGCCTGTGTTCTCTTTCTCAGGATGATGTCTTTTTAAATGCTTTTGGGTGCAGGTGTATTTTGAGGTCTTTCTTAGGCTTTAGCACAGTAAGAGTCATCTGAAAAACGCAAACACTCCTTTTCATAAAACGGAAAAGAAGTGAGATTGGAGGGTGTGTGTGATGGGGGAGAAGGGCCCAAACCCTTTCGGATCGGGTGGGAGACTCAGCACCGTCCTCAGTAACTGCAGAACTTTCACACGTGCCGGGAGATTCTGTCCGACACACCTGCCACGTGCCAATGTCACTTTAAAAGCCTGCCATCTACATTATGTGAATTATGTGAAAAGTCCAATTATAGCTATCTCTGGAATCTCAAAAGTTTGTTGTATTTTGGAATTAACAAACTCAGTTTTAAAAAGATAAAAAAGGCACTTATAAAACATATGTTCCTCACTGTGTATTTTGTCTTTTTCTTCTCAGTCCTCAAGGAATCCAGATATGTTTTAATGATTAATTTGATACCAAATTTATATACTAAAATTTAAATAAAATAATTCACAAGCTAACAAATTATTTTAGCTCCGCAGGAATCAGTAACTGGTTTGCTCCTTAAAAATCTTTGTTTTCCTCACTCTGAGGGCCGAGATATGTTTTCTTATTATGACAGCTTTGTGAATTTGTCTGCCTGTGGACCGGTGCTCTTGTGACTAAGCATTTAAATCCTATTGATTAGAAATCGCGGTGTACGATATAGTATTATTGAGTCCTTTCTTTTGTCTGAGATCTGTTTCTCAGTCTATGAAGATCCTTTGGCTTGCATAGGATGGCTATATATTTCATAAAGGATATGGTTATATGTTAGTCTTTCTTAAGATATGACCCTAAAAGTTCTAAATAGTTCCATTATTGTGATTTATGCTGATATGATGAATATGACTAGTTTTAAGTGGTTAAAATATTACTAATTTTTAAATTTTTGAGCTGCAAGATATAATGGGAAAAGGGTTTTAATGCCATCTGGAGGCATTCTAGAGAACTGAAAAGGGTAGAATCACTTAAAAATTTGATTCTTTGGAGTAACATTTGAGACTGGGTAAGAATTTATGCAACTAGAAAGTAAGCTATTTGGGAGTTATTACATTTTTTGTAAGTAATTTTATGAAAGTGCCAATTATTTTAGAAACAACAATTTTCAAATGCTCATTAATGAAATCATTTTAAAAACAGACAAAGGAACATACAAAATACATTGGAAAACTGTTAACATCCTACATTTAATTTTACAAATTTTAAAATCGTACTCAGTAGATACTGATTTTGTTAATGGAGTTTGATGTGCCATGAAAGTTCTCCTTCCATTATTTCTAAAAGCTCCATTCTCTAAAAGAATTGGTTTCTATACTTCAGTACCTTATAAAAGTAAATATGTTGTCTGAGGAATTTCTTTTACACCGTCTAGAGATTCAACAATGATAAAAGTTTGAAGCATCACCCCATATTCCTATCTCTTTAAGCAAAGCAATTCCTTAGTCATCTGCCTCACATCCTGCCTCTTGAACTAGAAATAAAGACTGAAGTTGCAAGCATCTCTTTTAAAAGTGGAGAATTCCAAACTTGAGCCTCTTGAAGAGCCCTCTAACAGTGGTTCTGTTATAATTAGGCAAGAGGAGCAGCGTGCTATGAATAAAGAACAAGGACTCAGGATGCCTGAGACTTGTGGAGCATTTTATATTATCTGTGCAGTACCTTATTTGAGCTCTCTTTAGATAGACAGATTGGGAGGGGATAATATCCTTATTTTATATATGAGGAATCTAAAGATCAGAAAAGTCATTCAACTTAAGTGAAAAAATTAGGGCACAAATCTTCAGATATTTTGCTTTTTTGCCAATTTACCATACTGGAGAGTCAGTGGATCTTAGGAGACAAAGAAAAGCCATGAGTCAGAATCAACTAGAAAAACTGAGATCAGATTATTTAAGTGGTAAGTGTATTGGTTTGCTAGGGCTGCCATAATAAAGTACTGCAGATGGGTAAGTTAATCACAAAAATTGGTTATCCCACAGTTCTGGAGGCTGGAAGTCCAAGACCAGTCAGTAGGATTGGTTTCTTTGTGAAGGAGGGATCTGTTCCAGATCTCATTCCTTGTTTTGTAGATGGCCATCTTCACTCTATGTTTCTTCATATCATCTTCCTTCTATGTGTGTCTCTGTGTCCAAATTTCCCCTTTGTATAAAAATACCAGTTATATTAGATTACGGTCCACCCTAATGGCTTCATTTTAGCTTGATTACCACTGTGAAGACCGTATCTCCAAATAGGGTCACATTCTAAGGTACTGGAGGTTAGGACTTCAATACATAAATTTTGAGGGGGAAACAATTCAATCCATAACATTAAGGGTCAGAGCAATCAATCAGAAAGATTCAGAAGCCAGGTAAGCAGAACCAGGAGTCTACAGATGCCAGAAGACTAGACAAGGTGAGAGAACCTACATAAAATAGACCGAAAATTATGAGCTCCATTGGAGCTGAAGTGGTGAAGCAGAGCAAAGAAAACTGTAGATAACATACATACAAGGCATTCATGGTTTGGTGGGACAGACTCAGCTTCAGTAATGCCTATATATCCCTCTGTCTGTATAACTCCATGACCCTGTAAGTCGTTTAAAGCTATTATCTGGGTTTAAATTTTAGTACAAAATTGGAAGCCTCCAGACAGAGAGTTCCTTTCCTGAAGAAGCATCTTTCCTCACTGGTTTCTTTTGAAAGCAAGATATTAGCATTATTTACAGGGGCCAACATATGGAAACAAGCTCATTTTACCCCATCAATGGATGAGTGGATAAAGAAAATTTTGTATACATATACAATGGAATATTATTCAGCCATAAAAAAGAATGAAATCTTGCCATTTGTGATAACATAGATGGACCTTGAGGGCATTATGCTAAGTAAGTCAGAGAGAGAAAGACAGATACCATATGATCTCACTTTTACGTGGAATCTTAAAAAAACAAAACTCATGGATACAGAGAACAAACTGGTGGTTGCCAGAGGCAGAGGTGGGGTGTGGGCAAAATGGGTACAGGTAGTCAAAAGGTACAAACTTCTAGTTATAAAATAAGTAAGTCCTGAAGATGTACTATATAGCATATGACTATAGTTAATAATACTGTATTGTATATTTGAAAGTTGCTGAGAGAGTAGATCTTAAAAGTTCTCATCACAAGAAAAAAATTTGTAACTATGTGTGGTGATGGACATTAACTAGACTTAATGTGGTGATCATTTCATAATATGTAGAGATTTCAAATCATTATCTTGTACATCTGAAACTAACAAGTGAACAAATAAAAGCAGGAGACTAATCATGATATGTTTTAGACAGTCATTGCCTGGTAGAACAGAATAATCTGGATAACACCTGAGGATCCTTTCAGGATATATTATTTAATGATTCTGTGAGTATTCATAAAGAGGAAAGATGCAATTTATTCTTAACACACACCCAAAAAAACCATAAATTAAAATTTCTAGGATACCGTTCCAGTTATATCAATGATGGAAGAGCTTATATTATATTAACTCTCCATTAGATAAGTATTATAAACTCTGGACAAAAAACTATTTGAAGACATTAAAGGCTGACTAAAAGAAGGCAGAGAATGTTGGGAATTTGGTCCTTGGAAAAAGGAAATTGGGCTGGGTGAGATCTATATTTATACAGCTTCTCCCCCGAAGGCACTTTCCAATTCACAAATAGCAACTAGAATTCATGGAGAAAGCCACAATCATATTTGCTTTAAGTGTCAGAGAATGGAGTTCAGGGCTGCCAGAGTGGCTGGAATTTAAGGAAGGAAATTCCAGAAAGAAGTGAGTCATAGAGAAGAGAGCTCCAATTCTGTATATAAATTCCCCTTAATCCTTGGATGACTCCCAAACGGCATGTGTGTGGAGGGGCTGCCAGTGAGCTCAGTGGAAAACAATAGCTAGAAAGCTGAAAAGCTGAGTGGAGATTTCAACTGCTGTCTGTTGCCTACAACTACTGCCTATAGAGTTTGGAATTTGAATCTCACTGAAGTGGGATTCAAACCAAAACAGACCATAACAAAGTGTAACACTAAACATCCACCAGTTCAAGGTGATCAGCTAGTAATTTGTGTGATGGAACAACAATAACAAAAAAAAATCAACATTGTTTAAAGGAATAAAACAGAATCTAGAGTTACGATAACATTCACAATATTCACTATCTAATAAAAAAATTGAAGGATTTTTGAAGAAATAGGGAAATGTGATCCATACTCAAGAGAAAAAGTAGTCACTATAATAGATTTTGAGATGCCCTAGATGTTGGAATTTTTAGACAAGAATTTTAAAGCAGCTATTATAATATGTTCAAGGATATAAAGGAAAACATGATCATAATGATCATAATGAAAGAAGAGGAATCTTAGCAGGGAAATGAAAATTATGAAGAACCTAATGAAAATTCTGAAACTGAAAAGCATAATATTTGAAATGAAAATTTCACTGGATAGCCAATAAGAATTATCCAGTATGAAGAACAATGAGAAAAATGATTTTAAAATGGCAAACAGACTCTCAGTGAATTATGGGACAACATTAAGTAGTTTAATATACACGTAATTGGAGTCTCAGAAGGAGAGAACAGAGAAAATAGATCAGAAAAAAATATTTAAAGAAATAATAGCTGAAAGTTTACCAAACTGGGTGAAAACATTAACATACAAATACAAGAAACCCAGCAAACCCTAAGCAGGATAAATACAAATAAAACCACACCTTGAAACAATATAATAAAATTGCTAAAAACTAAAGATGAAGACAAATTCTTGAAAGTTGCCAGAGAAAAATGACATATTCCGGGGGAACAAGATACAATTGACTG